ATGGAGAGGAGACAGCCTTCTCCCTCAAGGAACATCTTCACTGACAAAGGCTGCTGGAAAATTGGGATTTATACTTCCTGTTTTCTATTAATATGGAGATGAATACAGGTGTTCCTGTGTCGTAAAATTAGTTTAGCTCTTGCAAATTGCAATTACACGTGTTGGGGGGGAGAAAAGTGATGTCTATGCGTTTTCACAGGCAAGAGAAAATGTGAGAAAATTAGGAAACATATCTAGATTTAAAATGAACATAATAACGTGTAATTCTATCCTCTCTAGCCCCCTCAGCCCTGTCTGCCAGCTGCACCTATTTGTTCTGGTGGTGGCTTAACAGACTAGTACACTTTTCCTCACCGCTTATTACAGGGAAAATAAGCTTTGAAACGTTTCCCTCTTCAAGGGTTAGGACTTGGAAAGGGCTTTCAGACCCGGACGGCATCCCAAATTCCCGGCTGTCTTCCTAAGGGGCTTGTGGAGGGCATTGTTGAGAGCAGAGGACACTGATGAATGTACCAGCAAGGTGAGGAGGGGCTCACCCTCAGAAACCCCCCAAGCTAGCAGCAGTGATCGGCTTATGGTTTAGTGCACTCTGGCACAGAAAGCTCACCATATATGATACTGTAAGACGGAAGTTAAGATACAGTAACCATGTACTGAAGTGAATACTTAAAAAAAATCAACAATCACCAAGAAAGAGAGACTGAAAAACTGACCGATTTTTCTCTTTTGGCAAACCCTGCTTCCAGAAAAATTATATTTATAGAAGGTTTTCACAAAAAAACCTGCACATTTTGGTCGGAAAAATTTATTATTCACTTTTTCTTGCTAGTGTTAAACGAGATGATTGATACCACATCTCGCCAGTTTTGGTCTGGCTAAAATGAAACGAGAGATTACAAAGTGATAGTGCCAGACAATGACTCTTTGGTTTATCTATGGGTTAAGATAAAGAGTATAAAGTTGCTGGTGAGTAGATGTTTCTTTTACCTTTGGACAGAGCAAGGCCTGATTCTCTTCTTGTTTCCAGCCGTTTTGCTAAGCTAAGGTAACGGGCTGCTAGCTGTGGTTTAATATTTTTTGAAAGGAAACCAGAGGTGTTTTCATCCAGCAAGAAGGCATAAAAGCATATTCAAAAGAAATGTCAAATAATTTCATTAAACAATGCCCAATCTTTTAAACAAGGCACAAAGAGAAGAAATAGTAAACAAGAATTCAAAAACAACAAAACCACTTATTTAGCATCAGTTGGGGCCTACACTTTTTGTGACAAACTATGGTTACTCTAGTCCTGTTCTAGTTCATCAGCATCACTACATATTCAGTTCCACAGTATTAGAAAACAAATTATTTATTACTAGACATGCAAGCAGCAGCATTTACCTGTCATTGGGCTAACTTTCTCTCCATAGCCAATAAAGAGGCTCTGGTTTTGAGGCGAGACATTAATTCATTGTGTCAACCTGTCCCCCTGGAATATTTATGATGCTAAATACATTTAATTAGGCACTGGAGCTCTGATGGGAGGGAAAATGCACTGTCAGTAAAAAAGAAAAAGAAAATATTTTGTTACCTCTAATGCTGATAGGCTGCTAATGCTGCTTACTCATTTTCAATGACAGGAGGACCAACACGCGGCAGTGGGAATTTGAATCACTCAGAATCATTCGTGGCATGTTCATTACAATGTCATCATAGCACCTGAAGAGGATAGTACAGACGTTATTGAGAGAAGGAATATGCTCCTGAGCAGGATTGGCAGGGCATAAGCAGGTTTTATTAATTGCCCTTCATTGGGTAATTTTGCACAGAATACATTATCAAAAGGGATTGACAAATTGAGCAATATGTTGTGTGTGTGAGTGGATGATGATTTGCTTTAGTGCCTCTCATGCCTGGATGTAACTGTTACATTCACTTTAGAGTAATCGACATCTTTCCCCGAGTTCTTGATTTGGGCAATCAGCACAATTAATTTGCCTCCTGGCAGTTAGTTATTTGTATAATGAAAAAAACGTGCAGCAAAATAAATGTATATTTGGTAAAGCTCTACTCCAAATATCACAAAAAAACACACGTTTTGATTCATTGGCTGACAGCCTGGAGTAAAGTGAGACATCATGTCTGTCTGTGATAAAAACACGGCTAGGGTAGCCAGTTTCCATCTTGACATCTGTCATTCGAGTGGAAATGGATGGGGAAATGACCAGCTCTCTATCGGCCAAGCTGTGGCCGTGTCACTGGCTGAATGATGCAAATAGCAGATAATATCAGTCCTATACTGAATGGCATTACTCCAAATCTAATGTCATTAAAATGGTGGGTATTAGCTCTGCTGTCTGGAGGTGGTGGCGTGGGCCGCTCCGGCTTGACTGACACACAGATTAAGTGCAGTGACAGGGAGCACAATAAAGTCATCAGAGAATGTGACATGTCAGTTAGGGGGGGATGAAGGGATGAATTGTCACTCTCTGTCAGAGCCCATCCTCTCGCTTATCCATGATGTCCCATACACCACCGTGGGAAAACAGGACAGCACCGCGCTCAGACAAATATTTATTCAGGTAGAGGACAAGTATACCCACTCAAGCTTTCCTGTTCACTGCACATTTGCAAATGTGCTCCCAGAAGAAAAGTGGATAATGGATTAAAAGCAAAAAATGCTTCCACTTGTTTTTACAAGCCATCACATGAAATCTTGACAATGGAATATCTGAATGGTGCTGTTAAAATAACACTGAATATGATGCTAGGATGATGACTTTTGTTGTACCCTGGTTTAGCTGAGGTTGTTTTTTCTGTAAAGAAAAACTCTGTAAAAAAGGGTCCGTCAATATTCCGGTAGTTTCATCGTCATTTTGAAATGTGCATGGAATATGCATAGTTACAAAATATCAGACTGTTTAATCCATTGTATTATCCGTCAAAAGATAATTCCTCCTCTATCCGTAACAAATGATTAAATCCATTACGTACCTTTGTGTCAAGCTACCTTCGGACCTCGGTGTAGGTTTGGAGATGGAGTATCCCTGGGATTTACCAGAGTATACAGGTTGGCCAAAAGATGGCAATGTTGCAGTGCTGAATTCCAAATGAGGTTTCTGCTGGTTGGCCCCCCATCGCAGACTGGCCACTGCCTTCCCCTGCAGCACTCTTCTTTCCAAACTAACCCAGAAATGTGTCAACCTCAAATGGTACGACTGCACTGAAGTGCACAAATAACGTAAGAGTCGCCCACTGAAGTTCCAGCAGAAAAGTTGATTACATAGAGGTCGAATGACAAGACAACGTTTGGTGTGATAGGTGGAGGGAATCGGGCCACATGGCATGAATTCACTCTTTCTCTTTCATACAGTATGTGCTGCTTAGTATCCAATTAGTGCTTTGAATCCTAGTGCAATTTTCTCTCAATAGTTTCAGGTAGGTTTTATTATTTTCATCTATTTTCCTCAATCTGCAGGTACTTTGCAGGTCATTTCTGTAAATATGTATAAAGCAACTATTATTTTTTCCTTTACAAATCCAGCCAAAATAAGATGCATTTACCTTCTTTTGTTGTATAATTTCCATACATTATGAAATTAAGTACAGCTATGTTAAGTGCTATTTGTGGTAAGATTTTCTGAAGAGTAGTTGCAGTCAGTATGAAAGCATTTCAGTGCATTTAATGCAGCAGGCTAATAGAGACCCAGCAGGACATCAATTGGACAGCTATTATAGCGCTAAACCACAAGAAATGTGCCTCTGTAAATGCCTTAGGAAGTAATGTCTTATACGAGAAGGGTTAACAGTACAGGTCTACCTAAAACAATTTGCCAACCACTTGCAGCAAAAAACCTTGCATTGGTAGATTTTTTGAAAAATCGCATATTTGAAAAATATAGAACTGTTTTATTAATTAAAACAAGACACAATTTGTACTTTGTACACCTGGTTGTAGGCTTGTGAGTGACACTTGTTTGCTCTGTTGTTTTGAAGCAGGAATAGAACTCTCTCCCATGGCCACTTTGCTGGTCTTTATTATTGGCTTATTGCCTTTAAGCTGTCACCACTCAGAGCATTCCTCCTCTCAGGGGATTGTCTTCTGGGACTCGAGAGAGAGCTCGGCTGGCTGGGACTACTCAGCTCTGTTGCCCAATGCTACTCTTTCATATTGCGATACCATGTACTCTTGTTCTGCTTATTTTGCACTGATTTACACATAAAACACCCTCTCTGACATTCAACATATCTGTGTGAAAAGTGTCAGACATTCTCTCCAATTTTTATTTACAAATTGAGTTAATCAAGATTGTATTTAGGTGTATTTATTACATATTTTATTAGACAGGTATTTCTCAGTTTAAAAGTGGTGTGTTCCTTAAGCATAGAAATTGCATTGTGCAATAGGCTGTGGATGTTAAACTGCATAAGGTCAATATATGAAGAACACGAGCTGACTGCCAGCCTCAGTCAGGTAGCCTCTTTGCCTTGGGCAACTGTTGTTTATTGGCTATTGTATTCCAGAGAAAGTGTGCCAGGTGGACTTTCAAATAAAAACCCAGGGATGGAGAGAAAGCATACATATTTGTAATTAGAAAGACAATCACATATGTTAGCTAATTCTTTTTATTGATACACAATCTGATGAAATACTTAGGTAACCAATCATTTAATAAGTACAATTAAATCATCTTCAGGCTTTTGTTTTGGAAATGTGAGAAGCAGTGAGGCATGACAAGAAATAGTTGATTTGAAGTGTATAGAAATCCCAAGATTTAGCAAGAGGGTGTGATTTTCTCCTCCGAGCTTAATCCCACCATTCCTCCACCTCTCCTCTCTTATGCCAGTCACATTTTCTAATTAGCTTTCCCTGTGGAGGAAGAAGATGGATTATATTTTAATATCTGGGGCCTAAAATTAGTTTATATTTTAGCAAGTTAGCACTTCTCAGAAGTTGATTTACTCTTGAAGCTGTAAAACCCAGTGAGCTCGCAATTAATCATTTCCTTTGGTCTTGTTCTCAGGGAAAAAGAGGCTGCCGTGTCAGAGGCAGGATCACAATAGGTAAACACCTCATTTACACTATTTAGAAATCACCTCTCTAGTATTGTACAACACATGACACTCGCTCTCTCAATTGTTCTGTCCTGCTCCAGTTATTAATTACAGCACACTTTTAACAAAGCGACATTGTCTATGACTAATCATCGACACAGAATGATTAAAGATGTTCCTCGCTTTTTTGAATTACTTGCTTCCCGTTGGTCTGTGTTCATTCACGAGCAACATGTCCGCTTCTTTTTCTTCTTCATGGTCAAGAATTCGGTTCGCTGTTATCCGATTACCAGCGTCCTGAGAGGCTTTCACAGGCCCATCCATCAAGACTAAGGGGTTGAGGGAGAGCCTCTGCAATGCTGCTGCAGCGATGGAAAGCACTGAAGAAATCAGGGTTATTAAAAGGTAAGCATGGATTGATATAGAAACACACCGGGCACACAATTTGACACTATGCTCTGCTGTAACAAAAAAAGTGACAGCTTATTTTTTTCTCCAAATTCAAAGGGCTATTATTCCTCTTAGATGCATTTAACGCCGCTATAAATGAACACCTACTGATCATTGCAGAAAAGTTTTCATGCTGAAAAAAAGGACAATATGGTTTAAGTGAAATGTGAGTGACAGCAACGTATGGATGCTGTGCTCCATCACGCAGCCCTCCCTCAGCCTCAGTGTGAGGAGAGCATCCTCTAAGCCTGGATCTGGCATTGCTTTGGAGTGCTGTTTGGTGACTGCAGGTATAGAGCGGTGTCTGGAGGATCATCACTGGCTCTCTCCCAGGGAGATGAGCAGCATAGGCCAATTTCATATGCGGGGCTCGGCCCCTGGGTCTGAGTGGAGGTGGGCTGGGTCCACCCAGTATCCTGGCTTCATTAATCATCCCGCCAAGGCTTACCGGCAAACCCCCTCTCCGCCCTCTCCTAGACAACCCCTCGGATTACACAGAGCCAGCGAAATGTCAGCCCAAATCTGAGTCTTGATGCAGATAATCATTTCAATAATATTTCTCCATTTGTGCCCCTGATGCCAGGGGAATAAAGCTTTTCCACTGTCAGGTAGCATAAGACTACAGTTGGTGGGAATACTTGACTCTGAGCCAGATGGCTTAGCCATGCTTGCAGCATATGTTCAACAAGCAGTCCTGTGCCAAGCACGCATTAGGTTTTTATTAATTTCAAGCAGGCAGGAATGCATACGTATATATTTATGTGATCCTACCACTCCTGCCCCCCCCTCAAAGTGAACTAGAATATAGGTTTTTTTGCAGCAAAAATAAATATCATCATTGTATTTTTGGGAAAACATTAGCTAGATCATATACAAAAATGTAATTACAATTAAAATATTTCCTCTTTCCCCTGGCCTCTTTAAAAATGAGAATCAGTTTGTTACCAATCAAAGGCAATTATAAAAGATATTTATGGCTCCGATATCTGGCAGAGTGGCGTGGGTTGTTACAAAGCAAATTACCATTTAGATGCATGAATATGCTTGGGTCCAAGACAAAAGAAACAGTACTGCATGGGAGGGCAAATTTATTCATTACCACTAAGTTGAACTTCCCTTTAACAGCCCTGTGCTCTGCAATCCTGGGAGTTCTTCTCTCAGTGACTTATGGTAGTGCAGGGGGAGGGGGGACGGCGCGCCGAAAATGTCAATAGAAATAGTAAGTGTGAGAGGGAAGGCTTGCCTAATTAGTGCCCATTTAGATTTTATGACGGCTCTGAGATCTGCTCTTCCTGACAGAGAGCACTATAGTTGCATATTGTCCTAGCCTGAGGGAACCATAGGAAAATCCAGATTTATTGTACCTATCATACCAGCATATTTCATTTGCCATTATGAGATGCCATCTTGCAATGATGCGAGATTATTTATTACAGATTAAATTGTAGGACCTGGGTGGTTGAGGAACATTTCAAAGTACCATTCTTCTTATTAACTTCTTCATTATCTGCCCCACTGTGATGTAAGAGCTCCCTCCTTCCTACCTGCGTTAACAAATATATTACTGATTGGACAATGCCTAACTGTTTTCCTGTTCTCTAACATTAGTGCTGGTGCACAACACAACTCATCTGTGTTCTCACTTAGGGCAGACTGTGATTTCATTAAGCCTAATTTCAAAGTTTTTTTTTACCAGGTAGCTATACAAAGGCATTGCTGAGTTTTTAAATTATTTTACCTGCATGTGAACCACGTAATATGGTGCTCTATCTTTGGTTTTAATTACATTGAGAATTATATTTATGTCATTTTCTTACCGGTATAATGTATGCTATACTGTAGGTAGACACTGAGTGTTGCTCTGGCCCTCTCGTTTAGTCCTGTCTCTGCAGTTTCCAGACGGCTGAGCGGTTTTATATATGTTGTGTATTAGGTAGTGTTTATTTACAATGCCCCTTAAACCCCAGGATGTTGGCATTTATCCTATTTACACATCAATATTATATCTCCACGAAGGCCTTGAGAGTTGCATTTAAGTCATTGTGCAGGGTGGTATTAAAATGTACTCCATACTGTGAGGGGAGCTCGTCAGGGAATAGCTGGGCCCTGGACTCCCATTACCCAGCATAAAAGTGTCAGCCACTTTAATTACATTCATGCCTTCCTTCCCCAGTCCATTTTACTGCAGCCGCAATCAGATTTCATGCAGATCTCAAGCCTCTTTCTCAACCGTTAGGACATTGCTGGTGGTGAGATTAGATTCTAACATGATTTTTAGATTCCTTTTTTCTGTCTGTCTATCTGAGCTCATGATGTATGACTCAGAGTGGTGTTTAGAGGTTAGGCATTACAGGTGTTTCCAGCTGGTCATGGATCTCCAGTCGCAGGCTGAACGCTTTTTCTGCAGCCCCGTCCCTCAATGTGAATTTAAGTATCTGTCCCTGGAATTGTTGATTAAGTTGGCATACCCAGCCACTAAATATCAGTGCACCCCACTGAGACTGGGAGAATTGGTTGTACACAGAACACCCTCACAGAGAAAGGGTGAAGGCGCAGGGGGGAGGAGGGTGGCGAGGGGAGGGTCAAGTTCCACCGGTCAGACTGTTAGCGAGCGCAGAAGAGGCAGTGTCACTTACTGTTTCACGGGGAAGCTTCCTGACCTTCTATGAGTGAAAGCGAGATCCTCTCTTGTTTATACTCAGCCATGGATCAGTGCGTGGAATATGTCTACATCCTCTCAGCCAATTTCACACAGAGGAGGCGCAGTGTGGGCGGCCGACACAAGCCGTTTCCCCTGGACGATGGGGCCCATCCCTCACGCCCGTCCCCTGTCTGAGGTGTAGAGACAGACACAGACAGAGGCACTCTACTGCTCCACTGGGCCACAGAACTATCCCCTCCCTGGGGACCCTGGCGTGGGGACCAGCCTCTGACTCTTGGTCCTTATTTAAGAGACAGAAACAATAAGGAAAGAATTAAGAGATTTATTGCTTTGGGAGCACGTCCAGGATAATTGTTTGTTTATTTTTTCCCTAAAGTGGGATTGCATTTAATGTTGTCCAAAAATGCATGATGCATCATCAAAGTGTTTCTTCTACCACTGAACGGTGAAAAACATCTCATAAACCCCTGGGTGAAAAACCCCTGTTGTGAAATGACAAGGGAGCAAGTCCATCTAAGGGTAATTTATAGGCCGAATAAGTGGACGTAAAGCACTCAGGTGAGTTATCAGAGAAGCCATTAATTACCGCTAATGATTTGAACGTGACAAGCACATTTGCTATAAAAAAGTATTTATGATTTCACATTAAGGTCAAGCTTAGAAAAAAGCAAAAACTACGATTCTTGCGTCATTTAAAAAATAAGCACAAAACAATCCTCTAAACCCTTAATTAGAAAATAAGGGATTTATACCGTTGTGGCTCAATCCAATTTTGCATTAACAATCAAAAGGTAATCAAACCTCAGTCAGTGATCCCACTTCAACACCACACACTGCTCTAGGATGAAGCCTCTTCACTTCATGCCCAATTGATCTAATTACAGAAAGGGAATTCTCCCTCTCTGTCTCTCTGATATACCGGTCCCTGTTAGATCCGGCTGTTCAGTTAATTAAGTCTTCATTCTTTATCACAGTGGTGGACCTGGGACGACCATCCAGTCTCTCTCAGCGCTTTGTCTTGTTTTCCAGTACAGCTCGAGGTGAAGCGCGGCTCCAACGACTGTCTCTTGTTCCTCTATGCTGCTCGCCTTGTAATCAGCGACCCCTGTTTCTCAATTATGGGGTGTGAATTTGGGCTCTTTGGTGACCTTCTCCCAGTGATCCTACTACTGACCCTGCAATAAGAGCACAGCCTTCTCACCGCTGCTTTGTGTGTTGCATCATATTTTTTTTTTTTCATTTGTGGGATCTTTATGAAGAGGGAAATGAAAGAAAGCGGGTCACTCGTGTTGTGTTCTCACATCTACCCACTTCAGAGGCTCTGAACAGGGGCTTGGTGTTTACTTTGATTCTATGTAGGGTACACCTTAAGTTCAAGGGTTGGAGGGCAGGAAGCATCACTCTCTTGTAGGTAATCATATCCAGCTTTGTGCTCCTTGTACCCCGACACTGAGGGTGGCAGCTTAAAGGCTGTCTGGTGCCTTGTTCCACTGCCGGACCACACTTTTGATATCCGCAGCAGCTAGCTTCCTGCTCCTCTCTGTGTGGTCCTGGAGGATTTCAGCTCGGTGTTGATGTACAACTCTCTCTAGGTAGCCCACCACCTTCTTCATGTATCGCACCTCATTTCTAGCAATCCGCGGTTTTAAAATGACATATTAGCCAGCTCCGGGGTGGTTAAAGGTGATGCAAAGATTACAGCTATTTACCGAATTATCTGTCTGTGAGACTACCCTCATATCTCTGCATATATTACCTTGAGCTTGAGTTTAAAGAGCGATTGCTCAGAACAAGGAAGTTAAAGAGGCAATTACATAATGAAATGGGCCATCAATTCTGCTCGTGGCCTTTTTCTCTTTGAACAGAGATGGCCCAGATATCCAGGGTTTAGCTGACCCAGTAGAAGTACAACTGTTTGTATTAAACTCTCCTTTATCAAGGGACTAAGAAGCTGCATGGGTCTGTCTGGCTTTCTATCTCCGTTCTGTAATTCAGTTATTAATTACCCTCCCTCTCAGAGCAGCAGCGGGCATTGTATTTACAGGGTTTCCATGGTGACCCTAGCCCATTTATAAGGTCTGTGTCAGTATTAAGACAAGACCTGTATTCAAATGGCCTCCATCTAAATATAGCAGTCTCTCATAATGTGAGGGTTATTACAGTGAAATTAACACTGCTCCATTGCAGGCTGTATTTTATTACAGACTGGTAATATTCAGCAATACAGTGGAAATGTAGGAAGGAAGCTTTTTAGGTTATATTGTTTGTTTTCAGATATTACTGATGTCAAATA